GGAAGCTCTCAACCTGCTTATTCAAGACCAGCTCCTGCTTGCCAGGTAGCCATTACTTTGAATTTTATTTAAAAAATAATTTTATTTTTATTTTATAGATTTATTACCTGTTTTTGTACATCTAACAATGTCAATTGATTTGGCTTACATATGGATTAATCATGTTGCTTGTATTTTTGACTTTCTCTTAGAATCTGTTGTTATTATGTTTAAAAAATTCATCCATGTTGTTGAATCATGGATTTATTCATTTTCTGTGCTGTATAAAATATAATTTTCTGACTATACTTTAATCATGCACTCTTGTGAGGATGAATACATATATTGTCTTCATTTTTTGAGCAGTTACAGACAATGCTGCTATTTTTGTATATGTGTCCTGGTGGTATGAATTCTTATATCCCATAATCAGTAAACAGTTCACAGAATCAGTAAGCATCATGTAATTTTCTGGCACCCCTAGTGATGTCCTTGTTTTCACTGCTGATAATAGTTTTCTGTTGTTTGTGGTTTCTCTTTTATTTCTTGATCATTTTCAGCAAAAGTTTATCAGTATTATTTGTCTTTTCGAAGAACTGTCATCTGGTTTGTTGATGTGCCTTATTGTATCTTTTGTTTCTTTTACTTTCTTTGGCTTATGTTTGCCATTATATGACATATTTTCATTTTTTTAGATTTTTAAAAAAATTTATTTTAATTGGAGGCTAATTACTTTACAATATTGTGGTGGTTTTTGCCATAATCACATGAATCAGCCATGGGTGTACATGTGCTTCCCATCCTGACCCTCCCTCCCACCTCCCTCCCCATCCCATCCCTCAGGTCATCCCAGTGCACCAACCCTGAGCACCCTATCTCATGCATCGAAAGTGGACTGGCGATCTAGTTCACATATGATAATATACATGTTTCAATGCTATATGATATTTTTTTAAAGGATGTTTAAGTCATTGAATAAAAAGAATAGCCTAACATACATATTTAAGCCTCTACATTTCCTTTGACTTGGTGCCTTTGAAGAATCCTATAGGGCTGATATGTGAATATTTTATTTGGCCCAAATATTATTTAAAATAATATTTTATCATCTACAAACATGTGAGACATTCTTATTTATGTTTTAATGCATTCTGAATTCAAACTGAGTACAGAGATTTAATCTTCTGAAGTGTTTTACACCTTAGATTATGGGCCTTGTGTGATCATTTTTTGTGAAAATTCTATATTTTCCTCTGTCATTGAATGTAATGTTTTTCATGTGTTCGTTCAGAATTCTGATGTTCAAATTTTATTAATTTTTATCTATTTCTTCTGTCTATCATAGAGAAGGGAATGTGTTATAAGCCCCTGCTGCTACTTTGTTCTCTCTGTAGTTTTTTGTTTTTTTTTTGGTATATTTTCTTTGTGTTTAGTCACTAAGTTGTGTCTGACTCTGCAACCCCATGAACTGGCTCTAACCGGGATCCTCTGTCCTTGGGATTTCCCAGGCAAGTATACTTGAGGGGGTTTTCATTGCCTTCTCCAGTTGATGTGTTTTAGGAATATTAGGTTTATAAAACATTTTAACAGGCTATCATACATTTTATTACATTTAAGTGACTTTCTTTGTATTTATTAATGAATTATCCCTAATTTGTCCAATGAGCCAACTTTCTTCAGGTTTACTTTGTGTAAAATACCTTCTCTCATTTTTTTTTTTTACCTCAAATTTCTCTGCACTATGCAAAGTGCAGTAAGGATTTTAAGATAGTTGAACCTCATTTTTGCACTCCCAGTTCAGTTTAGTTCAGTTCAGCCACTCAGTTGTGTCTGACTCTTTGCAACCCCATGGAATGAGCACACCAGGCTTCCCTGTCCATCACCAACTCCCGGAGTTTGCTTAAACTCATGTCCATTGAGTCGGTGATGCCATCCAACCATCTCATCCTCTGTCATCCACTTCTCCTCCTGCCTTCAATCCTTCCCAGCATCAGGGACTTTTCCAATGAGTCAGTTCTTCACATCAGGTGGCCAAAGAATTGAAGTTTCAGCTTCAGCATCAGTCCTTCCAATGAATATCCAGGAATAATACCCTTAAGGATTGACTGGTTTGATTTCCTTGCAATCCATGGGGCTCTCCAGAGTATATATGGGTATGAATAAATATTTATTGTGCTTATGCTTCGTCTTTTGGAGAAACAGAAGAATACTCATGAATATAACTCAAAAATGTCAATGTATTCATTTATATGTACATGTAGGTATGAATATATGTTTGCTATGCATATGACGCCCTCTCAAGGAGAAACAGAAAAATGTTAACGAATGTAATTTATAAAATCCAAATGTATTCACTCATATGTATATATATAGCACAGAAACTGTCCTTAATGCTCTGTGGTGACCTAAGTTGGAAGGAAATTTAAGAAAGAGGTTATGTTTATACACACACATGCCTGATATGCTTTGCAGTACAGCAGAAAGTAACACAACCTTATTAAGCAACTACATGTGTACAAAGTGTAGGTTCCATTTACTGGAAGTTCTAGATGAAGCAAAATAATCTAAACTAATAGAACTGAGAACAGGGGTTGCATGGGGGAAGGACAGTGTGGGGAAGTGTACTAAAGCGATTCNCCAGCTTGAACATCTGGAATTTCATGGTTCACATACTGTTGAAGCCTGACTCAGAATTTTGAGCATTACTTTGCTAGCATGTGAGATGAGTGCAATTGTGCAGTAGTTTGAACATTCTTTGGCATTGCCTTTCTTTGGGATTGGAATGAAAACTGAACTTTCCCAGTCCTGTGACCACTGCTGGATTTTCAAAATTTGCTGGCATATTGAGTGAAGCACTTTTAACAGCATCAATTTTTAGGATTTGAAATAGCTCAACTGGAATTCCACCCCCTCCATTAGCTTTGTTCACAGTGATGCTTCATAAGGCCCACTTGACTTCACATTCCAGGATGTCTGGAAAATGAGTTGCATATTTCATTAATGGGATATTCCATTAGTTAATTAATCCATTTAAAATTGATTGATTCCATTAATTAATGGGAGTTGCACTCCCAACTCATATGCTATTCCTATCAAATATATTTTACTCTTTCCTTTTTAACAGACAGAGGACTTGAATAGACATTTTTTTCCAAAGAAGATAAACAGTTAACCAACAGGCATATGAAATGTTGTTCAGTATCACTAGTCATCAGGGAAATGTAAATCCAAACCATAATGAAACTTCACCACACAGTTGTCAGATTGTCAGAATGGCTTTAGTCAGAAAGACAACAAACAACTGCTGGCAAGGATGTGGACAAAAGGGAAAACTCTGGCATTAAGGTGTGATTGTAAATTGGTGCAGCCACTATGGAAAACAGTATGGAGATTCCTCAACAAATTAAAGATAGAACTACCTTTACATCCAGCAATCCCCCACCTTGTTATTTATCTGAATTAAAAAGATATGTGCACCCCTATATTCATTGCAACATTATTCACACTATCCAAGATGTGGAGGCAGCCCAAGTGTGCATTAATAGATAATGAATAGAAAAAATATTATCTATATATATATGTAAATGCCATTCAGCCTTTAATAAAAATTTGCCATTTGCAACACATGGATGGACTTAGAATTATTATGTTAAGTGAAATAAGTCAGATAGGAAACAGAAATACTGTATAATTTACTTAGTTATGTATCTTAATAGAAAACAAATGAACACATATATCAAAAACAAAACAAAACAAAAACCCCAAAATCATAGATAAAGAGAATAAACTGGGGGGTGCCAGAGAGAAGAATATAGGGAAGAAAAGAAATACATGAGGGACAGTAAGAGGTATAAAATAAATGTCAGTTGCAAAATAAATCAGTCAGGGTGTGAAATTTATAATGTAGGGGACATGGTCAATAACTACATAATATATGGTGACAAATCAAAACTAGACATATCACGGTGATCATTTTGAAATATGCAGAAATATCACGTCATTATGTTGTGTAACAGGGATTACAATGGTACAGTAGCTCAATCACACTTCAGACAAATGATCAAGCAAACTCATAACAAAGCTGTCAGATTTGTGGTTACTAGAGACATAAAATTAAGTGAGTGCAATCAGAAGGTATAAATTCTCATTATAAGACAAATAAGTACTAGGGAAATCATGTTTGTTGCTGTTGCTGTTGTTGTAGCTCCTAAGTATGGTCTGACTCTTTGCAGCCCCATGGGCTGTAGCCCTCCAGACTCTTCTGTCCATGGGATTTCCCAGGTAAAACATTGTAAATATTAATGGAATTAATATTGATGCATGTTATATATGAAAGTCATTAAAAGAGTAAATCCTGATTCCTCATCACAAGGAAATTTTTTAATATTTCTTTAATTTTTTATCTTTATGAGATCATGTAATATTCACTAAATTTACTGTTGTAATTACTTAATGATGTATGTAAGTCAGATTTATGCTCTACATCTTACAAAGTGCTGTACATCAATTTTATCTCAATAAAACTGGAAGAAAAAGATAAAAAAGAAACCCTTAAATAAGTAAGTAAGTGTTAGTCACCCAGTTATGTCCAACTTCTTGAAGTCCCATGGACTGTAGCCTGCCAGGACCCTCTGTCCATGAAATTCTCAGGTCAAGAATACTGGAGGGGGTTGTCATTTCCTTATCCAGGAGATCTTCCCCACCTAAATATAAAACCCAGATCTCCTGTATTGCAGGTAGAGTCTTTACTTTCTGAGCCACCAGGAAGATAACCTTACTAGATGTATCGTTGTTGTTGTTTATTTGGTAAGTCATGTCCAACTCTTTGTGACCTCATGGACTGCAGCACACCAGGATTCCCTGTCCCCCACTATCTCCTAGAGTTTGTCCAAGTTCATGTCCATTGAGTTGGTGATGCTATCAAACCTTCTCATCCTCTGCTTCCCTCTTCTCCTTTTGCTTTCAGTCTTTTCCAGCATCATGGTTTTTCCCAATGAGTTGGCTCTTCACATCTGGTGGCCAAAGCATCAGAACTTCAGCTTCAGTCCTTCCAGTGAGTATTCAGGGTTGATTTTCTTTAGGATTGGTTGTCTTGATCTTGCTGCAGTCAAGGGACTATCAAGAGTCTTAACCAGCACAACAGTTCGAAACCATCAATTCTTGGATGCTCAGCCTTCTTTATGGTCCAACTCTCATATTCAAACATGACCACTGGAAAGACTATAGCTTTGACTATAGGAACCTTTGTTGGCAAAGTGATATCATCGCTTTTTAATACGCTGTCTAGGTTTGACATTGCTTTTCTTCCAGGGAACAAATGTCTTTTAATTTCATGACTGCAGTCACCATTTGCAATGATTTTGGAGCTCAAGAAGAGAAAATCTGTCACTGGCTTCCACTTTCCCCCCCACCTTCTATTTGCCATGAAGTGATGGGACTGGATGCCATGATCTTAGTTTCTTTAATGTTGAGATTTAAGCCAGCTTTTTCACTCTCCTCTTTCACTTTCATCAGGAGGTTCTTTAGCTCCTCTTCACTTTCTGCAATAAGGGTAGTATCATCTGCATGTCTGAGGTTATTGATATTTCTCCCGGTAATCTTGATTCCAGCTTGTGCTTCATTCAGCCTTATATACACTACATATAAGCTAATTAAACAGGGTGACAATATACAGCCTTGATGTTCTCCTTTCCCGATTTGGAACCAGTCCATAGTTCCATGGCCAGTTCTAGCTGTTGCTTCTTGAGCTTCATACAGGTTTCTCAGGAGGCAAGTAAGGTGGTCTGGTATTCCTATCTCTTTAAGAATTTGCTGCAGTTTTTTGATTTCCACACAGTCAAAATCTTTAGCGTGTCGATGAAGCAGAAGTAGATGTTTTTCTGGAATTCTTTTGCTTTTTCTATGATCCAACAGTTGTTGACAATTTCATTTCTGATTCCTCTGCCTTTTCTAAATCCAGCTTGAACATCTGGAAGTTCTCAATTCATTTGTTGTTGAAGCCTCACTTGGAGAATTTTAAGCATTATTTTGCTAGAATGTGAGATGAGTGCAATTGTGAGGTAGTTTGAACATTCTTTGATATTGTCTTTCTTTTGGATTGGAATAAAAACTGATCCAGTCCTGTGGCTGCTGTTGAGTTTTCCAAATTTGCTGGCATATTTTTTTTTTCCATTTATTTTTATTAGTTGGAGGCTAATTACTTTACAACATTACAGTAGTTTTTGTTATACATTGAAATGAATTAGCCATGGATTTACATGTATTCCCCATCCCAGTCCCCCCTCCCACCTCCCTCTCCACCCGATCCCTCTGGGTCTTCCCAGTGCACCAGGCCC